CTGGGAGGCTACCAGAGACTTATCTGAAGGCCCAGGCCCCATCTCAGAGGGCTTCTATGGTGGGGGTACAGCCTGCAGGCTCAAAGCACTTGATCTCACTGTCCAAGGTCATAGATTACATACTATGGCAGAGAAAGGCCCATTGGGGAGTTCCGGGAGCAATTTTCAGGCACATAAAATGGCAAACTGAGTCAGAGGACTCCTCTGAGAAGAGCCATCCCAGGAATGATAAATGGGGGCTGGAAGCCCACTCTGGCCCACTGGCCTGTTTCATTTGGCCACTTTACTGAATGTTTGCCAAAAAGGTTGGACCTGTTACCCAAACTCTTGTTAAAAATGAGAGATTTTCAAGTTTCTAGATTCTCATGAAAAATGGGAAGACCTGACAACACTGGGTCCTGACAACACTGGGAAGAACTGACAACACATTCCCACTGTTGGCTGGACTCTGGTCATCCCTTTCTGTGGTGTCTTCCTCAGCCCTGAAGTCCCCAATGGACCCCACACACTTCACCAAGTTACTTGGACCCCAGAGGAATGTGAGTTTGAGACCCTTCAGCTGAGTCGACCACCTTGTTTTATAGGTGAGGAAACTGAATCCTAGAGAAAGGAAGGGACTTAGCTGGGGTCACAAAGACTGGAAACTCCAACTATTTTCCAGGGTACAACTCCTAGTTCTGTTTCTTTTGGAGAATAAGCCATGGACCAGAAAAGCAGGAATCCTCATGCCTGAAGTGAAGGTCAAAAGACTACTGTATACCAGGGCCCCACATAGAATGGAATAGCAGTTCCTGCTATAACCTGCTACTCCAAACCCTCCACCTCCTCACCTCTACTCCAGCCAGGTTTGGGAATCACCTGGCATTGGAATATTGTACATTCTTTCTCAGAATGGTCTAGCTGCCAGAAAAGAAATACCCTGGGCCTTTCTCCTTTACCATTCAGGATGTGTTGGCGGCATCCTTTAGGAAGCTTGCCCTGCTCCCCCAGACTGGGTTGCATCATCCTTGATATGAGTTTTCATCCTGTGCTTCCCTCATCACAGCATTTAACATTAAATTGAAAACAATAACAACAAAATAGCTACCATTTGCTTCTGCATTTGCAGTCTGCATAATAATATTCTCACTAATTTCCCATAAGAATGCCCTAGCTTCTGGGAAGTAAAGTAAATTTACCCCAAATCCCACAGCTGGAAGTGGGTTCAGACCTCTGTCTGACAAGAAGCTGATACTCTTCCAGCGCGCCTGGGTGGCTCAGTCAGTTGCATATCCGACTTCAGCTCAGGTCATGATCTTACTGCTTTGTGAGTTAGAGCCCTGCATTGGGCTGGCTGCTGTCAGCGCAGAGCCCGCTTCAGATCCTCTGTCCCCTTCTCTCTCTGCCCCTCCCCCACTCACATTCTTTTTCTCAAAAATGAATAAACATTTAAAAATTAAAAAAAAAAAAAGAAGCTGATGCTCTTCCTATTTTCTGTACCTCAGTTGCTATAAGTCAGAACCAAATGAGACCTGAAGGCCTGAAGATGTGCGTTTACTCCATCACCTTGACTTTTCAGGTTCTCTGTGTGAATCTTGAAAGGTCAGGTCTGCACAGATGGGGGCTGGGGAGTCACCCTAGGAAGGAACCTCAAAGAGCTTGGCAATGTTTTTGTAAATGTGAACCAAGAATCACAAAGTTTTGCTTGTATCGCCACCTATGTATCCTTGTCCCCAACCCAGGATTGAGGTGACTGACCATTAACCAGCTTGGACTGACACTCCAAATTCCTGAGTCAGAGTGGACCCAAGGGACCATTCTGCCTTCTCACAGTCTGGTTGTGCTGACACAAAGTGCCGAAAAGGGGCTGCTGGTTGGATCACACATCACCCCGAGTCTTCAGCTAACTCAGTCCAAGCCCCATCACTTTTGTTCATGCAACTGACCCCTACTGTTGACATTAAATGGTATCCAGTTTTCATTATCGAAAACCGTGCTCCAGTGAACACCCTTGAACCTACATCATGACGCACAGCTCTGCTTATTTCATCAGATTCCTACAAGTGAAATTGCTGGGTCAAAGGGAAAGTGTATTTCCTAGGCTTTTAAAATGTGTCGCCAGACCACTTTCTAGAAAGTTGTCCCAGTGGAGCCTCCCAGCAGTGTGATATGAGAACACTGGATCCTTCTAGGCCCTTGCCAGCCATGGTGGCAGGTCGCAAAATATTTGAGAATTTGATAGCCAAAAATGATTTTCCATGTATTGATCCAACAAAAATTTATGAGACCCATGGACTCCACTGAGCAATGGAGATGCTGTGGGGTCAAAATAGTAAGAGTCCTTGCCCTTGGAGACTCAGTCTAGTGGGAGAGAACCCAATTTAGGGGGTAATTATTACCTTAAAGAGTAGTGGTGTCAGTGTTGGGGAAGCTCAGGGCGCTGTTGGAAACGTAACAGGATTTAACTGAGAGACAGCCTCTTTGAGGAAGCTGCAGAGGCCAATTGGTATGTTGGAAATAGTATTTAGTTTTGTTTTGTTTTTTAAGTAGGCTCCATGCCCCGCGTGGAGCCCACTGCAGGGCTTGAGCTCGCAACCCTAAGATCAAGACCTGAGCTGAGATCAAGAATCAGATGCTTAATGGACTCAGCCATGCAGGTGTCCTTAATATTTAGTTTTTATAGGCCATTTGTATTTCCTCTTTGGGGAGTTGTCTACTTGTGTCCTTTGCACATTTTTTTTTCCTTTAGGGCATTCTTTTATTTTGTTTTAAGTTTATTTATTTATTTTGAGAGACAGAACATGAGCAGGCTAGGGGCAGAGAGAGAGAGAGAGAGAGAGAGAGAGAGAATCCCA